TAACAATGAAAATACATCCTGCATATCAGATATTTACATTACGATTCATAACAGTAGCAAAATTACAGTTTTGAAGTAGCAACGAAAATAATTTTATGGTTGGGGGTCACCACAACATGAGGAACTGTATTAAAGGGTCGCGGCATTAGGAAGGTTGAGAATCACTGTTTTAACCCGTTTAGATATTTCTACCACCTTTTATTTAAATAATGCTTTTTTAAAAAATTTATCTTTATTGTTGAAAGTATTACAGATGTCCCCTTTTCCTCCCCCATTGACCTTCTCCACCCTGCTCTCATGCTCCGCAGCCCCCCCGCCCCCCTCGCCCAGGCCTTCAATGAACTATTGTCTGTGTCCATGGGTTATGTATATATGCATATAAATTCTTTGGTTAATCTCTCCCCCCCACCCCCTCCCTCTTTTATTGGTCTTCTTACTTTATACATTTTAATAACTTAATGTTATCTCAGAAATGTGGAACCTTCAACTGTGTAATTCCATTTATCCCCCAATCCCATCCTCTATACTATAGTTGTCCTCAGTATTATAACTACACACATTATAAGCTCTACAAGATAATGTCATAATTTTTGCTTGCTACAGTCCTATGTATTTTTTGAAAAATTAATTTGCATTCAGATATAGACCATTTTTTATTCTCTGCATTTTTTCCTAAACTTTCAAGTTTTCATCTGTCTTTCCCTTTAGCCTGAATAATGCCTTTAGCATTTCTTATTGTGCATATCTATTCACGGATTCACTTAACAATTGTTTTTATCTAAAAATGTCTTTATTTTGCTTTCATTCTTGAAAGATAGTTTCATTGGATATAAAGTTCTAGATTGTCAGTTTTTATTTTCTCTAGCACTTTAGAGATATTGGGCTGTCTTATTGTTCCCTGGAGATTTTGATTAGAATTCACTGATCATTTAGTCCAGTGATTCCCAAAGTGGGTGCTACCGCCCCCTGGTGGGTGCTGCAGCGATCCAGGGGGGCGGTGATGGCCACAGGTGCATTTGTTTTAACTTTTTTTGTATTACCTTTCTATTCTGAGTTCAATAAATAGTTTCATAATTTCAAACTTCAATGTTTCTAATTTACACCTTTCTTTACTATATTTTACGAAAAAGGTAGAAACATTAATACATATATCTTTCTGTTTAATTGCTATTAAAATTTAAAAAAAATTAATTTCCAGGGGGCGCTGAGTAATATTTTTTCTGGAAAGGGGGCGGTAGCCCAAATAAGTTTGGGAACCACTGATTTAGTCACTGTTACTTTGCATGTAATACGTTGTTTTTCTTTGGTTACTTTTGAAGCTACTTTTATTTTTGGTTTATGGCTATGTGGCTCTGATGGCCTAGGTGTGGTTTTCTCAATATCTACCTTGCTTAAGATTGCTGAGCTTCTTGAACCCATACATTTATGTCTTTTACCAAATTTGCTCCACCCTCTCCATAAGTTCCTGAATCTCTTTTAATTCATTTTTTCCTCTGTTCTCTAGATTGGATGATATCTATTGATCTATCTTCAAGTTCTTTTATACCACCCAGTGATTTAAAATTTTTTAAAATGTTCATATCTAAAATTGTCTTCAATTCTAGAATTTCCATTTAGTTCTTTTTTAATGGTGTCTATATCTTTGCTGAGATTTTATATTTAAAAATTTTTTTACAAACACATTTTCTTCTACTCCTTTAAGCTTAGTCACAATCACTGCTTAAAATTCCTTTTTGCTAATTTAGTATCTGAATCAGTTCTGGATTAGTGTCCACTGACTGTTCTTTCCCTTGAGGCTGGGCTACATTTTCCTGTTTCTTTATTGAGTAGTTCTCTTTTTGTTGTTGTTGGAATAATGAATTGTATATTTATGGATAACATTCTTTTAGGAGCTGTTTTCTCAATTTATTTCTCAACTTAGAGTTGGTAACCAAAAGATACTTATTCCTACTAAGTCACTGAGGAATTCTTAATTGTATCCTGGGCATTGTGATTCTCTGGATTATCTTATATTCCTCTGAAGAGTATATACAGGGTGTCCTCAAAATGTATACACACTTTGAATATTTATTAATTCCAATGGGTTAAATCTAAAAACAACAACAACAACAGCAACAAAACCCATCAAATGAGCTATCAGCTGTTAAAGTGTGTATAAGTTTTTTGGGACACCCTGTATATTTTTGTTTTACCAGGCAATTACTTTGCCTAGACTCAATTTGGGCAGTAGCTCAAATTCAATTTAGTCCTTTTTTCGTTGGCTGGGCTGTGTGAATTTAGCCCCACACATGGATGGCTCAGGAGTCACCCAGACATTTGGGCAGAGTTTAACTATAAAATCTGGGGTTTCTACTCTTTAGATCTCTCTTTTCCAAGATTTCTCTTTCACTTTCAGCAGCTGTGTTTGCCTCACACTCTGTTCTCTGATTCCTTAGGCCTGAAAGTTTGTAGGTTTCTATGGGCATTTTAGCTGTTTTGTGGTTCTGACTTTAATCGGCCCTAAAGCTAAGAGCTGTAAACAAGTAACTCATCTTACGCCATTATCTCTGTCCAAGTTTCAGTGCCCCTCTATAATCTTCTTGCTTTTGCCCACTTTTCATTGTTTTGGGGTAGATTAATCCCTCCACCCCCCCAGAGTTCATAGCTTTTATCTGGGGAGGGTCAGGTCTGGTAGGAGCTCACCAGCAGAAGAGCTTTTTGTGATTCTTTTGCACTCCTTACTTATCTAGCATCAGTGGTTCTCAACCTGTGGGTCGCAACCATTGGAAAACACATATAGCATATCAGATATTTAAATTACGATTCATACTAAAGAGAAAATGAACAAATGGGAGTACACCAGCAGAAGAGCTTTTTGTGATTCTTTTGCACTCCTTACTTATCTAGCATCAGTGGTTCTCAACCTGTGGGTCGCAACCATTGGAAAACACATATAGCATATCAGATATTTAAATTACGATTCATAACAGTAGCAAAATTACAGTTATGAAGTAGCAACGAAAATAATTTTATGGTTGGGTCACCACAACATGAAGAACTGTATTAAAGGGTCGAGGCATTAGGAAGGTTGAGAACCACTGATAGCTGTTTGTTCTCTGTCTTTAACGTGAAAGGCTTTCACGTTAAATGTCTGTTCCTTCCTTGTTTGTTCTTGTTTACGATATTCTGTGTGCAAGCCATTCTTCTCACAAAGGACGAGCTTCGTTGTGGAGTGATCGGGCAGGGACTGGCCATCGTCTTGGGTGACTTCAAAATATGATTGTCCCCCCCCTCCCCCAGCACATCCGAATATTCTAGGGAACAACCTTCCATTTCTCACCGTGAGAAACCTGCTTGAACGCCTGCAGAGCCAAGTTGAGGAAAGGTCTCAGTTCAGCATTTGGACTTTTAATTAATCTTCCCATTTTTAGCCCAGGAGCTCCATAGTCTCCTGGGATTCATTTCCCCAGAGCGGAAGCTTTGTCAGCTTCTGTGGGGGGTTGGAGGTAGTTGTCTGGCGGTACAGGTTGGGGAAGATGATCTAAGGGTCCGGCTGTTCCTTCATCGAATTTTCAAAGGATCCTTTTATTTTCAGCCCCTGAATCCAGAGGCTCCTGGTAACTCCCATGACTTGGGCTTCTCTGGGTTTGTATTTGAATTAAATAATTTCCTGTTGGCTCCTACGTCCCCTCTGTCACCCAGGAAGTCTTATTTCGGCTTTTTCCACCCTGTGATTCAGTTCCCATCCACACGACTTCTGTCTGCACCAGAGTCATTGAAATAGGGTCTGGTGTGGTCTCTGCTCATGCGCTCCACGTTCTTTTGTGTTTATGCTTCTTTATTCCTTTACTTTCATTCGGGTGGGGTTTTTGGAGAACTTTAGAAGTATGTCTGTTCTCTTTTCCCTTATTAATAAGAAGTGAATAAATTATAAAGGGTCAATTTGAGAAGAAAGCATAACTTTCCTAGCAAATAATAAAAGCAGACTTTTCTCTGTATTGTACAAGGGTGAAGTCTTAATCAACCAAGAAAAACATGACGGCTTACTCTCCAGCAATAGAATCAAGTGGAGGGTGGTGGTGCTTATGTATGACTTAGGGTCACAGACTTTCTTTTTTTAAAAAATATTTTTATTGATTTCAGAGAGGAAGGGAGAGATAGAAACATCAATGATGAGAGAGAACCGCAGATCGGCTGCCTCCTGCATACCCCACACTGGGGATCGAGCCCGCAACCCAGGCATATGCCCTGACTGGGAATCGAACCAGTGACTTCCTGATTCCTGGGTTAACCCTCAACCACTGAGCCACACCTGGCCGGGTGGGTCACAGACTTTCAGAGCCATTAGGGACTTGTAGGTTTTTTGGAACATAAGTTTTCACACTTTGTTAGTAGTGGTACTCATTTTTTAAAATAAAATTTTACTTGCACCTCAATATATAAATGTTATGGTCCCTCTGTCCCCCCCCCCAAGGTATTAAAAAATTTCTTTTATAAAACCCTGAGCTACTTCCAAGAACTTTGGGATCTCCCAAAGCACATCTGGAAAACTCTTGCTTTAGTTGTCTTAGCCCAAACTGTATCTCTCTGGTGTACGTGCTTTCAAAATGTTCAAAAGCAATAGTAATGTTAATTTAAGTTTACTGAGCACTTTCTAGGTTTGGGGCATTCTGGGTTTGCACACAGTATCTCATTTAATTCTCACAGTGAAGCTATGAGGAAGGTGTAATGAATATTCCCCATTTGTAGGTGAGGAAACCAGGGCCTGGAAAGGCTCGGTACTTGTTTATGGAGACACAGCGGAGAAGTGGAAGAGCTGGGACTCAAACCCAGGTCTGTCTGACTCAAAGCCCATTCATTTAATACAGGACGCTGGGCGTGGTCTGGTGGGCTTTGGCCCCTGGAGCACCTGGAGCCGTCCCTGGAGGCGCTGTACACGGAGGGCCGCCTCCGCTTGTGACAAAAATATAATGATGGAATAGTTACTACAAAAAAGCAACGCATGTCTGGTTTATCCTCAGGCAACGCCAGCTCCCAGATACCCCACCCTACTCCGCATCAGACTCCTGCTCTCCTCCACAGGTCAAAGGTGAGTGCCCCGCTCCTCCCGCACAACGTGCACCTTCTTCAACTCTGGGTGGCGGGGAGGAGGCCCTTCTCACCTGTGTGTCCCCGCAGGGGCATGCTGCCCGACGGTGGGGACCCCAGCTGCTCTTCTCCACTCTGCTGCTGCACCCGGGGCACTGCCTGCGCACCCCGCACAGAGCTCCTCCGACGTGAGCGACTCCGGCCTTGCCCACCACGACTTCCACAACTGCTGCCCAGACACCGGTCACCCCGCCACCGCCCTGGACCAGTCTGTGTCCTCCCATCTGGGGATGGGTTGTTCTTACCATCAGCAGCCTCTGTGCCACAGCCCTGGGTAAGGAGCGAGATATTTAGTTATGAAAGACCTCAGAGCAGCCCGCCCCAGGCAGTGCCAGTAGAGAGTCAGTGAACAGTGGCGTCCTGTCCAGGAGATGGCAGTGTTGAGACACAGATTAGACATGGCCAGGCCCGGTGCTCTTGGCTTTACCATCTATTCATTTAAAACACACTGAACCCAAGGTCCTTCTCATTCAATGAAAGCTAAAGTGTCAGGAGTGCGTAGGGAGAGTCTGGGTGGTGGAGAGCGCCCTGTTTGCTCGTGCAGCCTCAGGCAGAGTACTCGAGGGAATTTGTGCCTGAGCTCTCAGAAAAGTATCTCTCAATTGAACATTCACTAATATTCCTTTCTTCTTTTTTCCTTCCTCTCCCCCCTTTTCCCCTTTCATTCCAACTGTTGGGCCTAGAAGATGGCAAAAAAGAGTAAAGGCCATAGAAAATTGTGGTAAAATTCCATGTGAAAAAAAATTTCAGGTGTAAAATATATACTTGTATTTTAAGCTGGTATCTTCTCTGTCTCAATGAGTCCTATGTCTTTGTCAGTTTATTATTTTATTTTTCTAAAGATTTTAAATTGAATTTTAGAGAAAGAGTAAGGGAGAGGGAGAGAGAAACATCAATTGGTGCATGGCCCCGGGGGATCGAGCCTGCAACCTGGCCATGTGCCCCGACCAGGAATCAAACTGGCAACCTTGTGGAGCACGGGAAGACACCCAACCAACTGAGCCACACCAGCCAGGGCTGTCAGTTTATTTTTCAAGTAGGTGAATCCGGGTCCATTGAGTAAGGGAAAATGAAGTTTGAGACCAGTAGGACTCATGGAATAGGGGCTTGCTTTGTCCACTCCATGCATAGACCTGGTTTTGCAGACTAGTAAGAGCCCAAGGAACATTAATTCATTAGAATTAGACTTAAGAAGGCAGAGAACAGAAAACTGGGACATTAAATTTTATTTACTGTGACATGGAGAGCAAAGAAGGAGCCTGACTTCATTTTGGTTTCTTGATTTTAGGGCCTCATTACCACCAACAAAGAAGAGAAAGGGCACACAGACGCTGGAGGACTCCGGGGACTGTCCAATGTGGGCCCAGGACTCCAGACCAGGTGAGCCAACGGGGAGGGGCAAGGGCGAGGAGGAAGGAGGGGGGCGGGGTGTCACTGCCCAGCCCATTCAGTCAGGGCTTTTTTTTTTAACTAGCCTTGGAGCAGCCCTACAAAATTTTCTCTCTCTCATATAAGGACAGTGATTGGCCCTGGGAGTTTAATTCTTCCCTATTGTCATAATGGTTCTTGCAGTCTTAGGTGGGGTCATACAGGAGCTCCCAGGAAGAGATGCCATTCACTCTCTTTGCTGCAGATGGCACACCAGTCCTTTTAATTGCAGGACAGTGTGTCTCCGAGGACCCAGACCCCAGGCCTGGGGGAGATGTGCAACTGGCAGCACCTTCAAGAGCCTGCGGTGTGCTCACTGCTCTGTCAGTGCCGGTTCCTCCACGGCACTGTGCACAGGGGGCAGGGGGCAGGGGACAGTCAGAGCTGACGCAGTCAGCCTAGGTGGGGTCCCAGATCCTGTCTTCCTAACAAGCTCCCAGTGATGGATGCTGCTGCTCACGGCAGTTATTATGAGAAGCACGACTTTTAGAGGATTTCTCCAGGGGAGCAGGAAGGTAGAGAGTTGAGTTTCCCTAGCATTTATTTCAAGTTAGCAGGTTCCCAGTAGCTCTTCAAAATTTTGTAACATCATTTTAGAAGTCTTTTAGCACAATCATCTGATGCCCAAGTGGTCAGCCTACTTTGTTCTTTGTCTTCTATAACATGTGACACATTGTGTTTTTCTTTGTCTTATATAACATGTGACACATTGTGTTTTGAGCTTAGAGACGTGATCGAGTTGAGAAAAGTTGGGTATTTTTTTTAGTCTGGAGCTTTGAACTTCAGAATTTTCAGAGTAAATGCTATGGTACTTGCTAGGGAAATGGATAATACTACACATCAGTTCTATTAGCCACTGTAAATAGTTAAAGGTAGGCGGTGTGAAAGCGCCCACTGAGGTCACTGCTTCTGCCTTTCCCAGCTACACAAGAGCTGGTGCTTTTAGGGACCTCTGGCCTCAGCTCCAGCCTGGGCCCAGGGGGTCCTTCAGCGGACGATGCCTTCACCCTTCAGCCGACTCCCACACATTGCCACCTCCTGGGAGTGCTGGGGCAGAGTTGTGCTGGACATCAGGCCTTTGTGTGTCCAAACCTCCTACGGTCTTTTATGTTGCATAGATCCACTGTGGTCAGCAGTTGCTTGATTTTTCTTATTCCAACCGTAGAAATACAAAATGCAAAATAAGGGCCCCTTTCCAGATGATGTAGAGCTCTCCACCCACCTTCCTAATTTCTGCAGACATCCTTGCATCCAGCCTTCAGCTTCAATATGATTCTCAAACACAAAAGGCTGAGTGCATTCCCAGCCAGACGAGAGGACCATCTGTTCGCTCTCCCACAGAGGCACCAGCTCACTGAGAGTACCAGGCGCGTCACCCAAACCTTCCAAGGGTTTCCTCACGTAACCAGATGCGTCTTTCCTCGCCCTGGTCATTTCAGAGTTAAGCTCCACCCTGTGATGAGTTTCTGCTGCCTGTCCCCGGAAAGGGCATTGATGTGTCACCATCTCCAGAGAACAGCCATGGAAGCCTGTCTGAAATGTCCCAGCAGATAGGAAACCTTGAGTCCCTTGTTGAACACCCATTCAAAGGTCATTGAAATGCTGGTGAAGACAATTGGCTCTAGACAATGGTTCTAGAATAATAATGAGCAGATGGGGAATAAAAGGCGGGGGAGCAAACTCAAGTAATTCCAAGTGCCACGTTTTCATTACAGTTTATGTTTTCAGCAAACATTTTCTAGTGGGGAGCTCAGATGTGGTGTTACTGAGGCCCAGGGTTTTCACCAAGGTGCTGGGGAATGGCATGTAGGTAGAGGAAGGGGGAGCTTATGCTAGGCTTATAGTCAGGGATTTGATGGGAGGTAATATTCTGGTGACCTTCTTCCCAGCAGTTCACTTGGGCCAAGTTTTCCAAGATCCCCATTTTTAGGGCTCATAGTGTAGAATTACTGGGTTGCTTTGAGCACATGTAACATCTTGCTCTGAGAGAAGGCAACTGGAAGGCAGGCTCCTGTTAGCTGGCTCTGACCCCATGTGGTCTGGATCCCAAATATGAGAGGGTTCCTGGTCCCACCTAATCGGAACCCCAAATATTAAAGGGTCCGTGGCCTCATATGGTTTGCACATCAAATATAAAAGGGTTTGTCAGCTCCAGAGTTGTGACCTTTGGCCCTCACTGAGAGGTGCAGCGGCTGAATTCACACTATAGAGTCAGAAGACTGTCTCATCTCTCTAGCAACTAGGAACTTTTAAAGCCTCCCTTTTCTTGATTGTCAGCTAAGAGTCACAAGTTCTACTTCACCATTTTCCAAGATTATTAAAAAAAGAGTGCATAAAAATATTTTGACATTGAAATCTAAGCTATGAGTTTTCTCCAAAAAGTTGGGACTTGGGCAGTTTGCTGCCTTCACATTTCTGCTTCTCTCTTCTGTTACATTTTCTCGAGAAATCCTACGTGTAGCATGAAGGGAAGAGAAAAGTCTGAATCCCGACTCTTCCACTTAAATGCTGTAACACTAAGCAAGTTATTTCAGGTCTGTGAACCTGTTTCCACATTTGTTGAATGAGACTAAGAATCCTTTCTTCATAACCACTTTCTAAATCTGTTTGGTTGCATCTACTAAAGCACATCTTATGACCCAGCGATTCCATGCCTAGAATATACCTAACAGAAATTTGTACATAGGCCCACTAAAAGACATGCACAAAAACAGTCATAGCAATATTACTCATAATAGCCACAAACTGAAAAGAACGCAAATGACCATCAAGGGCAGGATAAATAGTGGTATAGTTGTACAATGGTGTACTATACAGCAATGAAAATGAACAAACAATTGCCATTTACAACAATAAAAAGTGAATCGCATAAACATAATTTTGGGCAAAAGAAACCATCACATAAGAGTACCTATCATATCATTCCATTTCTGTAAACTTCTCTATGATGTTAGAGTTCAGAATAGTGATTATTCTTGGGCGGAAGAAAGCAGTGATGGGAAGAGGGCAGGGGGCGTGTCTTCTAGAGTGCTGGAATATTCTATTTCTTGATAATGGTAGTTAGCTGGTATAATTCATTCTATAAAAAAGTATCAAATTGTGTATTAATGATCGTAATCCATTGTGTATATTATACTTCAATAAAGAAAGTTTATTAAAAAGAGGTCCTTACCTTGAAGATGAGTTAATGTTGACGAGGAACTGTGTCAGGTGTCTGGGACAGTGCCCTTGGGTGCAGAAAACACACAGGAATAGTAGATGTTATTAGTAATATTAGTAAGTTCTTGAATAGGCTCAAGCTTGTGCCGAAATTTTGGTGTGAGCCTGTGGTCCCAGATTCTGATCCCTGGGATTCACCAGCTGGTAGCCAGCTTCCAGAGGAGCCAGGCTTTGTCAGTCCTTTTGGAGTGGCTGCTCCGATACCCTTGCTGCCAGGATGAGAAAGGGTGGGAAGTGCCATTATCCTTGAGGACAATGCCTTCTTCCCACTGCACACCCTCCCTACCAGCAGGAGCAGAGCTGGCTTTGGGCTGCAATGCCTTCTTCCCACTGCACACCCTCCCTACCAGCACCTGCAGGAGCGGAGCTGGCCTTGGGCTCCTTCCCCTGGCACCTTGCCCTTGCCACCGTGCTTGAGTGGGAAAGGGCCTGAATCAGCTGGTATTCTCACATCAGATAGTGTGACCATGGAGGCCAAGAAATGTAGTATTTACCAAGGCTTCTTGGGAATAAGTCACCTGAGCTGAAACAAGTACGTGTGATGATGACACCACTGTCTAAACTCTTACTGGTGATAGACACTATGCTAAGCACTTATAGACATTACTCATTGAATCCCTTCAATAATCCTGGGAGGTGTCATAAGGTTACTCCCATTTTGCAGATGAAGAAACTGAAGCCCAGAGTCCTTAAACCATTCCCTGAGATCAGATAGCCATTGAGCGTAGAGTTGTGATTGAAACTCTTTCCAAACTTGAGGTTCTTGAACTTCACCTACCTTCTCTTCATTGGAGGAGAGAGGAAGGAGAGCTGGAAGAACCAGTTTCTCCCTTTCTCTGAATTTGGTATAAACAGGAGACTATTAGAAAGGTTTGTTGTTGTTGTTGTAGTTTTGAAAATATTTAAGGCCAGATAACTTTTGGAGGAGTGAGGACACAAAGAGCTCCTTGCATTGCTGACCTCCTCATTCACAGCTGGGAAAACATTTCTCAGGGTTTTGAGAAATCATTCCCAAATCCATATTTACAAAAACCCAAAAAAGTAGATGTGTTGCTTAGGTGACATGTAATAGTGATACCCCAAGAAAAGCACATTTTCTGTGGCATTTGGGATCAAAAGCAACCTGAAGCACCTCATTTATTTATTTTAAGAAGTCCTCAATCTATATATATAAAAGGCTAAGCAACCAGCTGACTGGTTGACTGGCCAACCGGCTGGTAGCTATGATGCGCACTGACCACCACGGGGCAGACACTCAACCCAGGAGCTGGCGAGCTACAGCAACTTTGCAGAGTGCCCTCTCGCACTCTAGGACCTCAGGGGATGTTGGACTGCCGGTTTTGGCCCAATCCTCACAGGCCAGGCCAAGGGACCCACCTGCCGGAGGGACCCTTCTCACTCCACAGATGCCCTTTGAGCCCTGGCCATCTGGCCCAGTCCCACCTTGCCGGCCACCTTCTAATTAATTTCCTTTCAATGTGCACGAATCTGGGCACCGGGCCTTTAGTGAAAGTGTAAAGAAAGAAAGTTGGGTGAGTGAAAGGAAACCCGGTCACACCCCCCTGCATTTTCCCAAGCTGTGGGCTAAGTGCGCTCTGTAGGAGCTAATGTCATATTTCTGCATCGTTCTTACAGCCTGCACCTGATTTCATGAACAACCACTGTTTCCCTTTCACTCCTGATGCCAGGCATGAGTAATGGTGGAGGAGTTCAAAGAAAAGGGGAACAGCAAACGTACCCATCGACTTTACATTAAAATTATCTGTGGTTGAATCGTACAGTTTGGAGGCACACTCAGATTAAGACAACGTGCAAGTTATGCAAAAATAGTAGCTTGCACGTGCGAAATTGCTGTCACTCTCTCCTGGTATCAGCTTCTGAAAGTGCTGTCACTATATTTTCTCTGCTGTGTAACGTTGCAAGTTGGGCAGGACACCTGTTTTCATTTCTGTTTCACAGTTGAGGGAAGTAGGACACTATGTGAAAAAATAACTCATCTAAGTTCAAAAGCTAGTTGGACCACAGAATCTTGGTGCCACCAGGGACCTGTAACGAATTAGAATATACTGTTTGCAATGAACAAAAACAAATAAACAAAAGACAAAAACCCAAACCTCAAACTGCCTTAAGCAACAAATAAACAAACAAACAACAAGCAACTAGAGGATTTACTGACTTCTGTAACCCAAGAGTTTAAGATTGGATCCCAGAACTCAAATCACCCCATCAGACTGGGTGCCCTTCATTCTCAATGTGCCTTCTACTGTGCTGGCTTCTTCCCAGAGAGGCTTGTCCCTCATGTCCCCAGATGGTGCCAGCAGCTCTTGGAGATGTATCTCCCAGGTTCAAACCTCATGCAAAAATCGCAGCATCTTTGAACCTGCATTCTAGTGGTGCTGAAATCCACTCTGCTTGGGTTGGATTAGGCCAGGTGTCTATCTGATGCAATTATTGATACTCTAGTGAATGCTGTACTTGGATTGGCCAAGCCTGGCTGGGTCTCCCACCCTCCTCAGGCTGAGAGTGGACTTCGCTGGGACCACACAGAATGGAAGTGAGGAGATGCTGTGCAGGATGAGGGCAATGTCTCCAACAAGTACTCACCCTGGCACCTTAGAGACCACTGACCTCAAGCTGCTCTTTCTATAGATGAGGAAACAAGGCTAGCCGCATGCCTCCTGCCTCCCAACCCTGTTGCTTCCCACACAGTCACTCTGCCTTCTAATGGCCTGTTCATTAGCTCCAAGCAGCTGTCTGTGAGTCAAGGAAAAGCAGCCTTGTGGGAAAGATCTGACACACCTATTTCTTTGCAGTGACGAGTAGGAGTTACAGCAGCGAAATGCAAGACCACGGCAGTGAGGGACAGAACATGATGCCTGCTGACCAGTGCTCCCCTGCTCTGAAGTGGCAGCCGTACCAAAGTGTTCCTTGGCATAGTTTATTAAATGGTCATTACGAAAAACTGTAAGTGGCCTTAGGAATCCCTTGTGGTGGGCTGGAGGGTGAGGGGAGAAAGGCAGTGCTAACTCTTAAGACTAAACCCAAGGATCTGTGATTTGATGCCACCCTGGCCAAATGGGGTGGGCCAGTGAGAAGGTATGTCTTACTCCCTATGTTTTGCATTCTCACTAATGAGTAACTGGGACATGGGTTTCTGGCCTTCATGAATCCAGACTCATAAGTCTAACTCCTTATAATTTGCCCACTGAACAATGCAGGAGGAGGGACTCTTTCTCAGATCACATGCCCAGTTTTTTGTTGTTGTTGTTTTGTTTTTTGTTTTTTTATTGATTTCAGAGAGGAAGGGAAAGGGAGAGAGAGATAGAAACATCAAAGATGAGAGAGAATCATTGATTGGCTGCCTCCTGTACACCCCACACTGGGGATTGAGCATGCAACCCAGGCATGTACCCATGACCGGAATTGAACCTGGGACCCTTCAGTTCGAAGGCCAGCGCTCTATCCACTGAGCCAAACCAGCTAGGGCCACATGCCCAGTTTAAACTAAAATCTGGAAAATAACCCTGACTGGTTATTAATACAAAGTATTCAGAAATGGAAATCAAAGCATACAAAATATCCTTACACTGGGAAAGTTACTCCTTATTCTTATGACATTATGGTTTCAAGAAACAAACATGAAATTATACATTATTGCTCTTAAACATTCTTTAAGACTTTTCTATATTCCCTAAGATATAATTTACCCATCTACATCTTCTAGAATTTTCGTTGATTATAAATGAATGCTTTCTCAGAACACTAGAAAATGTTAGTGGCTATAAAATAAAATTTTCAAGAAATAAAAAATAATATGAAATAAGAAACGTCGGCCTACAAACTTGAGGGCCTTCGTGGTATTTTCCAAATTCAAGTATAACTTCTTTAAGAGCAAAAATTATCATTAGGACTTTAATGTAAGATGAACTAGAAGGAAGAAATATTTTCCTTAAAACAAAATCTAAGGAGTTAAGTAGAGGTAGAAGAGGGCATAGAGGAGATAAATGGTGATGGAAAAATAAAATAAATTATTTTTTAAAAATCGAAGGAGTTGAACAGATTTGGGAGTTGATGTGTTTAATTGGAGGCAGAAAGAAGCAAGTTGCTAATTGTATCACTGAAATGTCACAGCTTTGTGTCTTTGCCATTGTGTGCACTTAGAAAAAGAAAGGAGAGTCCATAGGTCTTGGTTTTGAGTCTCAGTCTTCATTTGATTATCTTTTGCGGGGGAGGGGGGGTGTCCCATATTCTATCTTAAATATGAGGACCCAGGTATGAAACTCACCCACATGCACAGTAATTTATTTATTTATTTATTTTAGTGTTGTTCACATATTAGTTTTTTAAAAAATTATTTTATTGATATTTTACAGAGAGGAAGGGAGAAGGATAGAGAGTCAGAAACATCGATGAGAGAGAAACATCAATCAGCTGCCCCCCGCATACCCCCTACTGGGGACGTGCCCGAAACCAAGGTACATGCATGCCCTTGACCAGAATCGAACCCGGTACCCTTCAGTCTGCAGGTCGACGCTCTATCCACTGAGCCAAACCAGCCAGGGCGACATGCACAGTATTTTAATTGACACCTTTTAATTCTTTCTAATCTCTCTGCATCTGAGTTAATCAAGTTTTCCAGGTGACTGTTATCTCTCTTTTTACTTGAATAGGTTATATTTTAAAGCTTATTTGAACTGCCAATCTATTCTCGACTGATCTAGAAAAAAAGGGGAACACTGGCAGAATCAACTCAAAGGTGAAAAGGAAGATTTATTTTGAAGCCACAATTCGCTTTCTTAAGCAAAAAGGAAGGCAATATTCATCTGGCCCTCTTGGTTTCACTACTCAGATCATTGGGAAAGAAAATCACTTGTGAATTCTTAGGTTATTATGTCTAATTTGTTACAAAAATATTGTTTCCTTAAATTACCTAATTAATGTTAGGGAGTTGAAAATTTATCTGATCTCTTTTTTTCCTAGATGATATTTAAAACCTGTGTTAAAAAGAGCTTTTAAAAATCCAGTTAAGATGACTTTATAATTAACTTTTGATATCAAAAACAGAATTGCTATGCTTAAATAAATAGATTTCTTAACCAGAGATTGGTGTTTAAGATTCAGAATCATCTTCAGCAGTATAATTGTTGTTTGGTTCAGTTTCTGTTATAGCTATCCTTAAATTTCAGGCTCATATCTGAGCTGTCAGCCTTACCTGCTCCCTTCAGAGTTTTTGACAGTGAAACATGGAAGATCACAACATGATATTTCCTTTTTTCTTAACCAAGACAGTTCTTATTACCCTCTGTCGGAAAATCTATATAGTTCAACCCACGTAGCCTTTAGATGAGCAAATCAGCAGATTAGTTCTAGAAACCCGAGTCAATATAAAGTTCCCAGATGGCATAAGACATGTGGTCTTTATCAAATTCTTCATTCAATGGATTTTCTTGCCCTCACTGTGATTATGGAGCCTTTGACTGATCAGCTCCTTGAGGGTAATCAATGACCTGGTGACTTGATTCATTGAGAAGGTGCTTTACCTGCAAAGAACTAACACTATTTACCCAAGAGGCCCATTAATATTTTCTGTCTCTGGAATTAGAGGACAAATTAGAAACTCTAGGTTGTTCATTAAAATGGCGGCCTTTCAAATGGAGATCCCAGGATGCAAAATTCCACAGTAGCAGAGAGCGCAGCAGGAAGGACTGCCTCTTCGCCCGGGGTCGCAGGAAGGAGCTTCCTTCCCAGGAAAACCCCACATTCAGAATCCTCGGTGAATTAGAAGTCGTGTTCTGTAGCTACAACATCCGTAAAAAACTCGCAAAGGAGTTTTCAACCTTTATATTCTCTTCTCTACTTGATAATGTTTCACATTTAACACGTTTTATTGGGGGGAGGGAGGCTAGGTTGGAGATGGAGGAGACCAATGGGGGGAAAAGGGACATCTGTAATACTTTCAACAATAAGGATAAATAAAAAGGAAACGTATTTAAATATGTAAAGATGTTGAATTAATTAAGCATTTAATGAAACATGTGACATTCTATTGAAAATGATTTGATAAAACCAGGAAAGAATACTAAATGTATTCTTTTAGCCACTCCACCACCATTGATGCCTTTCTGCAGAAATAACCAGCACAGTAGGTTTCCGGTGCAGTTACCAGATTGGGTGGATAAAAAGGGAATGAGCACACTCCAGAGAAAGCAAGTTTTCAATCGTAGGATGACTGGCTCTGGCTGATCTGGTGGAAAGCTATCCCTGGTATTTCTGACCTGCCTGTTTTACTCATAGGATCACCAGCGGGCGGAATATTCATTCATCTGAGTGACTGTTTGAGAATGGTGTTGCTGATAAAATTTAGAGACTTCTTTTTTTTAAAGGAGGAAAAAGATAAATTCTATCCCAGATATTTCACAAGTCTGAGTAATGCGGTGACTTCCCAACGTAGCCTATGCCTTCCTATCGGACAGTGGAGTGAAATTAGAAGTCTAGAAAGCACAAAGGGAAAAGGCAGGCTGAGGAAATGATGCCTCCACTTGGCAAGAGTTGTGCTCCTTCCTTGTGAGAAGATAAAAAGCTGTGAGAGAGCCAGCTGTGTTTTGAAATATCATTTTCATTTTCTCAGTTAAAAATTCACAAAATTGATTGATTACCTGGTAAATATAGCAAAAGGAACTTCCTGCAACATATTTTCTTGAAATGTTTACACAAATAATGTGGTTAATGAAAGAAAGTGTGTAGAAAATATTTGTAAAACTGGTTTCTTGTATTCCTCTTTTCATAGACCCAATATAGGCTATCGAGTTGTCACAGACAAAGGATTTAATTTTTCACCAGTAGATGAAGCTTTTGTTTGCCAGAAGAAGAACCATTTTCAGATAACCATCCACATCCAAGTTTGGGGAAGTCCAAAATTTGTCAAAACCCAAACGGGTCTAAAGCCAATAGAAATGTTTTACTTGAAAGCTTTTGGGGTTAAGGTAAGTTTATAGTTCCTTCCATTTAATTCAGCGAACATTTATTAAGTGTCCCAGGTGTCTGTTGCTGCATAACAAACTACCTCAAATCTCAGCAACTTAAAATACGGAAAATCACTTATGTGGGTCACAAATCTAAAACTTGGTTAGGGGTTTGCTCTGATAGCTCACCTCTGTTCAGGAGTCATTAGCTGGGGCAGCTCAGCTGGGCCTGGATCCAATTTGCAAGATGGCTCACTTACATGTCTGTCAAGTTTGTGCTGGCCATCAGCCAGGAGCTCAAAGGGGCAGTGGCTGGGAGGCCATGGCTCGTCTCTATGTGACCTCTCTGCAGGATAGCTTGTGCTTCCTCACAGCATGGTGGTGGTGGTGGTGGTGGTGG